CAGAATTCCCATGCTGGCTGGGGGATTCTGGGAGTTGAAGTCCACTCATCTTAAAGTGGCCAAGTTTGGACAACACTGCTCTACTGTCTGCTTGAACACATCCAGTGAAGGAGAGCCCACCTCCATTCTGCTCAGTTGGTTCTGCTATCAAACTGTTTTTTAATGTTAGGAACTCTTTTGTAACTAGAATTTGTCTTCCTGTAATTTGAATCCATAACTCCATGTCCTGCACTCTGAAATGATGGAGAACAAGGCTTGATTTTCTACTGCGTGTCAGCCTTTCAGGTATTTGAAGAATGCTATCATATCCCCAACTCAGTCTCCTCAAGGCTAAGCTGTCCCAATTTCATCCATTTCTTTTCATAGGACGTAATTCGTAGTCCTGTGGTCCTCCTCACTGCTCATTTCTAAATCTGTTCCAATTTGTCCAAATCTTCAAATGGGGTGCCCAGAACCTGACACAATATTCAAGATAAAGTTTGACCAACACAGAATGAAATGCTAAAGAACCAAGGAAAGACAAACACATAAAAACCTGCCTACCAACACATTCTAGGAAAAAAGACATATGAATTATATTGAAATAGTATTTCAGTAGCAGACCTAAAGTATACATTCAGAGATACTGAAAGATCTTTTTACAATTTCTGGTTCCACGATAATGCGACATTGGACTTGTGCAATAAGTACATTCAAGATTTGGGATGGGGAGGTATGTATGGTTTTAAAAGCCATTTTTCTAGAACAGAACAAATTGTGTTTTTCTTAGGACAAGTCCAAATGCTATTTCCAGAAATGTGTTTATTGTGATGGTGGGTCAACAGTATACATGGGAAATATGTAGCTATCAGATCATTCTGTTCAAAAAGTGTGTTGTTTGCATGTTAAGCGTCATAGACACATTCACAGGTTTGTCTTAAAATCTACTCATCTATAAATGATACCAAATATCCTTGTTTTTTATGTATACTCTTTATTGCATATTGCTGTTTTTTTCTTTAAAAAAATGTACAGTCTTGTAACATACACATTATATGTTGCTAGCTAAAAACATCCTTGTATCTAAGAACCACTACATGGTTTGCTACCCCTAAGCTACATAGTATATTTCAGTTTACAAACTATCACTTTTTTTCTCTCTCTCTTTTTTTGGCATGATTTTTTTTTTAAATTACACACCCAGGAGCAATGCAAAGAGGAAAATTATAATGAAAATAGAGTGGTTACTTCCACCAGCACCAGTCAAAAATGTCATTTGCAACAAATGGCACATGGGATTAACCTGTACATTTATTTAAGAAAACAAACAAGAACAAAAAACCCTCTCACACAAGCACAAAGAATTGCAAACACAGCCCCCAAAATAAGGCTTGTTGCAGATCAAATTTGATTTGGAAGCACAAGGAATAGCTTTCACCAGTGCCCTGCTTCCTTTGGTTTGTAATCTGTGCAGTATAGATTGCTAGAAACCCAGGGAGATCCATTAATCATCCTGCAAAACAGAAACAAACTTCCCCTTGAACACTTTTTAACACTGCGAACAGCACAATACAAATCAGTCAAGATCAAGCTGTTTCAGCTTGATGCACTAAATGCCAGAGGACTTTTTTGGGGGGGGAGGGGGAGTTTCTACAAGTGATGTGCTTGACTAATGAACCCAGATTTATTCTGAATCCAAATGAAAACTTTGTGTTTCTTTTGGCTGTTCTGAACAGATCAACAGTGAGTATTACAGAGTTTTCAAGCCCTAGACCTGAAATTGCTCAGTCTCTTTAAGGGCTTCCACTTTAATTTGCACTGAATGTCACTTTCTTCTTCTGACTGGTCCCTTCTCACTTACCGTAGGATGATTAAGCAAGGTAAGGTGATGGAGACCCTCCAAAAAGGAATGTGTGGATATATAATACATGCACACAAACATCCCTGCTGAAAAAGTGACAAAAGAATGATCCAAATACTTTTCCAGCTTGTAGCGTATTTCGGGATGGCTCCGCTGGAAAATCAAAGCACTGCTTAGCAGTGTTAATCTGCACAATGCATAGCTGCAGGATGCCCTGGGTCAGCAGAGAAGTCTCTGCTGGGACACAGGGCAGGTGCATGCAAATGGCTTCCTGATGGGAGTGTGAATCTATCCTGGGGGTTGGGGGGGGGATGGAAATAAAGGTACTCATTTTTCAACCAGACTCTTTCTATAGTCATAGAAAGCTGCTGAATTCTTAAATGCCTATTGGATTGCAGGGCAGGTCTTCAGGACAAGACTGAATGTTGCCCGTTACAGCACCTTTCTGCTCTTTTCATATTCAAAATATGCTGGCTTTATCTTTATTCACCTTTCATTTTAATGCAATCCATCTGAGCTCTTTCTCAGCACCAACGCCCTCAAATCATATCCAACCTAATTTCTTCCATCTATAAATAAAATATATACATATAAAAGAGAGGCACTTTAGTTTAAGTAATAGTTACGACCAACCTGGTTGCTTTCTATTGGAGCAAAGTGTTGTTTTTGCTCATCTGCTCTCTGCAAGAACTCAGATAATCAGCATTCTCATTCCTACTGTTTTACAAGGTATTTGATGAGCCATCCATGTGTATGGTTTACTGAAAAAGGCTGCAGTTAAGAAAAATGACACTTCAAAAAGAAAAAAAAAAGCATGCACGTGCCTACACACACACACGCACAAACAGATCTCTCTGACAGCTCTCTGTGGTGTGATCTTCACAGCTTTCAGATTGCAAAAGGATCTGGGAATCCTTGCAACAAGAACTGTATTTTGTACAAACTAGTTTTTATACAAAACCACACATTTGCTTTACAGTTCACATGAGGAAAAGTGCTATTCCAATTCCCCAACCAGTTAGCATCTTTTACTAGTCCCTCCCCACCCCCCAAAAGTTTCAAACAGCATTAACTATCTAGTGCAAGAAGGACAAAAAAATAAAAATAAAATAAAATTAAAAAATCCCTGTTCAATTTCAGATAACAATATGAGGATGGTAAAAAAAACTACGTAAGAGAAACCCCACAAATAAATAAAAAAGAAAAAAAGTAAAAAGTAACAGTCTTCGATATTCTCTATAATTTAAGATTAAGCCACGCTATAAAAAATTGGAATTTTAAAAACATTTTTCCAATTTCTTTGTATTACTATTGTTTTTAAATTATTAATTACTCCCTGAGCAATCTGGTGTTTTTTGTTTTTGTTTTAGATTTTGGACTGACATCTTTATAGGTAGCTCTGCTTAACACTTCTGCGAGAAAAACATGAATAGCAATATCATTTGGGGGGAGGGGCATTTCCTGCTGCTCTGCATTATACATTTGGTCCCTAAATCTCTCTCCTCATCTCTGGGCCTTAGCAAAGCCTTTTACCAAAGCTGTTCCCTTTGTGACAAAGGGCAAACTTTGAAATGAGTTCTACAAATGCTTGCCATACAAACAAAGCCCTCCGTGTGCTGCCAACCAACCCGAGGCCATAGGATCATCAGGAGATGATATGAAACTCACTGCTTAGCCACATTTATTTTTATGGCCGCAGTCCTCAGCTCACCTGTAAAAAAAAGGAGGCACTACATTCACTTGGTCTGCTCCTGGCACTGGTCGACTAAAAACCCAGCTCTGAAGACCTGAGTGGGCATGTAGGGAGGACTCCAGATAGTGCCCACATTCTGCAGGCATGCCCCAGCCCCCCAAGGCTCTTCTGGAATCACTGCTGATCAGACAACTGTTACAAAACGGAACTGGCCCAGAGTAAATTCTGACCTACATTTACAGAGAATATAGCTTGTCTTGTTGCACAGGGAATCAAAACAAAACAGAATGAACACATAGGCTCTTGGATCCATTGTTTTAAAAAAGAGAGAGCACCCCCCTCCCCAATTCCCCGTTGGTCTTCAATAAGAAAACAAATTAATTCTATAGGTGCATTATTACAGTAATGAAAAGCTCCCCCAGGAGTCCAAAAATGCTGGGAAAGAATGAAAAAAGAGATTACGGAATAAAGGGAGCCAGCACAAGAATCACAAGGGATGTTCAAGTTTTTAAGTAATAACAGAAACAGAAGATAGACTTTTCCCAGCAATACAGTTCAAACTGAACAAGAGGAGTTTCTAATGGACTTTTTGTCACTGTAGTCCCAGCAGTGATGAGTCAGTCAAGGTCGGTCCATCCAAGTCAAGAAGATCTCAGGTGACTTAAAGGTCATCCTGCATGATTCTCTTCCTACTTCCCCTTCAATCTCAGCATCAAGGACCCCAATAAGCTGAAGTGAATGTTACTGTTCAGCCTCCCTCATTTCCCCCTAGGTGTTTCTGCCTCTTATCAGTCTCCTTCTCCAACGTTTGTGCTTTTACAATGGAGAAGCTACTTGTGGAATGCCACTATAATTGATAGAAAAGGGAACATTCGTTCAAGCAGTAGTGATCGTGCGTGCTTACAAGTGTCCACATGCACACACGCACACACACACACACACCCTTTTGGTCTCCATCCACCCACATAGATTTGTATATACAACACATATACACACATGCTTCCATTAACATCCACTCACGCACACATGCAGGATGGGAGAGAGAGGATGCCACTGTGTGACCACCAAGGCAGAAGGCAAAGAAGACCGGGCTTTACCAGATTATTGGTCAGGGTTTTTTTTCCTAACACACTAAAAAAGTGAAGGTGATGCTCAAAAGTTGAGTTTTGTGATGGGTCTCTCACGACTGCCATCTGCCAATTGATTTGTGATGCGTTTGCGATTGCGCTTCAGTTTAGAAAGGTCTTTGTCAAAGACTTCTCCAGACCTTAAAGCAGAGACCAGGTCATCAAACTCCCCACCTTCTTCGCTGTTTTCTTTTGCTTTCCTAGCCTTGCGCTCCCTCTCTCGCTGCTCCTTGAGCTGGAAGAAAAAAGAAAAGAGAGTCTTAATGAGACATTTCCAGTTTGCAGCTACTGAAAATCCCGAGAACAAGTGGTATGTGGTCACACATGTGTGGGAGAAACAGCTCAGCTAGTGAAAGGCCCAATGTTCCAATGCAGTAATGTGGTGGACTCAGTTCTATCTGGAAATATAAATGTCTGTGCTCTCAGGAAGCCCTTGCTCCAAATCCAGAATGAATGGTCACTGTCTGTAGCCATATTGAGAAAAAAGCACACAGTGCTCAACTCTTCACATGTTGAACTCTGACACTGAAATGATGATGTTGGAGGGAGGGTACTTGCTGACAGAGTCACAGGCACTGATTAGGAGGCCCACTGGTGGAAGTTTAGCTCAGTGGAAGATGACACATGTCCTGCATGCAGAAGATCCTAAGCTCAGCCCTCACTGCTCCTAATTAAAATAGTCAAAAACCATTTTTTGCTGGAAGCCTTGGGAGCTCCTGCTAGGCAGGAGAGATTGGTGTTGCTAATGCTCTGACCCTCCAGGAGACAGGTTCTCATGTTCATATAGGAAACAAATTAAAATATGCTCTAGAAAACAGTCCACCATCAACTATCAATGCTACTCTTGTATGTGCTACAACTGTTTTCTGTAATCTGACACTAGATGCAATGCAGTGCATCTTCTGCTAGCAATGATGAGAGTTGAAGTCCAACACTTTTGGAAGATGCCAACTTGGGGAAGGCTATGCAGTTGGATGTAGAGGTATCTTTTGTTGAGTAGAGTGCAGCAATACTCCTGTTGTGCAGAGTGCAGCAATACTC